TGAAAGGTAACGCATTGCGCTGCCTGACTTGGCTTCGCCTTGCTGTCGCTGAGAGTGAGAGAGAATAAGTAATTCACTTAACGCTTTAATATCGCTGATAAATACCACAAGGATTCGCCAACACATTGCCCACTTAATTGGTGCAATTTTCAACGATTTTATTTTATTTGCATGTGTTTTATTTAAGGGCAAGACAGAGGGGAGCGGAGGGGGAGACATCTGTGTGCCTGAGCAGACTTTATGGCAGCGGCGTGCGAACTGAGTTGAAACTCATTTACATACCTTTTCGTTTGCCTCTCTCTCTCTCTCTCTTTCGCTCTCTCTGCCTTCCCTCTCCCTCACTCGCTCTATTTATATAGATCGCGTTCGCATGGCACATTGGAGACAGCTGCTGATTAGTGAATGCTGCGCTGCAAATGAAGTATGAGTCGCACAATTGGACCGGATGCAGGGAATGGAAGATGGGACGCACATGCTTAGCCAAGCTCCAGGTCCACATTGACCATTTGGCATCGACGTCTATGCGAATTTAATGCAATGGCTAAGCCTATAATTTGATCATATCCACACTATAACTCAGAGCCTGGCCAAAGCTGGTGCAAAATGCCCAGTGGCAACGACCACGAGGCGTGCCCCACACCAGGTCCCGGCCGGGCAGTGACAGAGCCGCGTATAATGGATGCGCAGCAATGCCATTTCTGGCAGATCGGGCTGCAAGCAACGGCTTCTGATAAGACCACCAGCAACCACGGGCCACCGAGACTCTGGCTCCGCAGTAGTTGTTGAAAGCGTCGGATGACCAGTGGTGTGGAGCCGAGGGCCCAACTTGCGCTCACTTAGCGGGCATGCGTCATAACTTAGGCTGCGGTCAGTGGTCGATCGGATTACCCGGCAGGCATTTCAATTCAACACATCCTTTGCTCGCCTGCCCAATTATACTACAGAGCCACTGCCACGCCCACAACAGCGCCCATGGTTTGCGCAAGGGGGCGTGCGAGATGGTGACGCAAATTATAGCAATGCGCTGACTTAAATAAATGCGCAGGTTTTAAAATTGAAAAGGAATTAACGGTGGGCAGTGCATCCATCGATTGCCTGGGCGCGGCTCCACTGACTTTCCAGATTCCCATCTTACTGGCTGAATGGCAAAAATATTGTGCATAATTATATGCTAATGCTCCAATTGAATTATGGCTGTCTGCATGCAGCTATTGTGCTCCCTCCCCCTCTCTCTATATCACTCTCCCTTACTTAGCTCTAAGCATCTGTAGCTAATTCCATTGGAAATTACTGCTGCCGGCGCCATAGCTGGCGGCCTTCCAGGAAATGTGACCACACACGCTCCGTTTATATTCGAATCACTCATGTAATTGCATTATTTAACTAAAATTAAGAATAAATTGCAATCGATTGCCATTGCGCGGTTTTAATACCTTCCTAAATACTTCAGCGAATGGCAAAAATATTACGCATTCATATTCACATTGATTTACTGCTCTGTTAATTCCCTTTCTCCTTTGTTTCTCTCTCATTCATTCCAACTGTAAACATCTGTGTCTAATAGCGAAGGAAATTGCTGCTCCCGGCGCCATAGCTGCTGGTTGGATTTCCAACAACGGGACCACACACGGCTCATTTGTTATTGGAATCGCTCATGTAATTCCAGTGTTTTTTGTTTACCGACAGTGGGATTGATTATTGTTAGGAGTGTGATAAATCTCTGTTTTTATTAACTTTCGGCATGACAAGGCGGAATGTGTGCGTTGAGTCGGAAGAAGATGAATGAAATTAATATGAAAATCAGATCAGCATGATTAGTTATAATTTGTAAAGTAACACAACCTTTACATATACCAAAATTGAACAATAATTAATTAAATTTGTTCGAGTACTGAGCGAAAAGGTATGCAAAGGAAAATTCAGTTTACAATTGATTTCAAATGCGGGCTTAATACTTAAACATATAGGGAAGTGTTGGTATATGTATGTATTTGTCATTGTCGTTATTTTGGAGAATTGGAAATAATAATTCATATTAAAATAGGTTGGTTACGTACATATACGTTATTTACGTATACACATATTAACATTTGTATTTACATATGTATGGATGTACATACTTTACATATAGTATTTTTTATATTTAATGTTATCGTGAAGACAACATTCATGTCAGCTGGAAGCAAAATGAATCGCAGTGGAAACACGTTAAGTTTTCAGTGTTACCACAAGTATTTTATGTTTTCTTGCTTGATATTAGTTTTGGTATTTTTTATTATATTTTCATTTGGCAAATTGTTAAGTTTTTTAGCATAACAAGCTCAATTTTAACTAAGCCGAATTTTAACATTATGTAATATAAATAAATTTAAAATAGTTTTCTATTTAAATTGCAGTTATTTTAAATTAAATGCACCCACAGCAGGTAACGAATAAAACGCAACTTTTCCATTTTCGTTGTGCATTTTTGCAGTTTCTTGAGTCAGCCACACTTACAATGAGCATTCCAAGTGGAACTCTGTATTAACAATATATATATTTTTTTTCAATTAACTTTTATGATTGCAATAAAGGCGAAAGAAACAAATGCACAAAGTGATTAGATGTGTTAATTTAATTGAAAGTAATCAGCGTTAGCTCCCTGTAGTTCCAACTTGCATGAATGTGGCACAATCGCAATCTAACGATTGCAACCAACGTCAACGTCAGCAAAAATCTTTGATATCAACTGTGGAGGCGACGCGGTGTAAAAATCAGTTTAAAGACGCTACTTAATTCACAATCATGGCCAGCCCACGAACGCGACGAGTGCTGCAAGAGCTGAAGCCCCAAGACGAGAATTCGGTAAGACTAACCCAGATACACATTTCGAAAGAAAATTACATATTGAACAGGTTTTGACGTGTCTCAAAATGAATCTATATGGTTTTGCAGAAATGCTTCGAGTGTGGCACTCACAATCCGCAATGGGTGTCGGTTACATATGGCATTTGGATATGTCTGGAGTGTTCGGGCAAGCATCGCAGCTTGGGCGTTCATCTCTCATTTGTGCGCTCCGTAACCATGGACAAATGGAAGGACATCGAGCTGGAGAAGATGAAGGTGGGCGGTAATCGCAATGCCCGCGAATTTCTAGAGGATCAGGAAGATTGGAACGAACGCGCGCCCATAACGCAACGATACAATTCCAAGGCAGCTGCTCTGTATCGAGATAAAATTTCAACTCTGGCTCAGGGCAAGAGTTGGAATCAAAAGGATGCCGAGGCACGCTTGAGTAGCACTAATTCTTCGTATAGTTCTAACAGCTACAGCGGCAGCGGCTCCAACAGCAGCTCACAGGGCCGCACTAATGCAACAGGTTACAGTGGCAATGGCAGCGGCGGAGGCTATCAGAATGGTGGAGGCGCTTACAACGATGCTGGTGGCTATCAGCAGTTCCAGACACAAGAGTTCAAAGATCAGAAGGAAGAGTTCTTCAACCGTCGTCAAATGGAGAATGCATCCCGGCCAGAGTAGGCTCTTATTTACTATTTATGCCTGAAGAGCTAACACTTTGATTATTCATACAGAAACTTGCCACCAAATCAGGGCGGAAAATATGCTGGATTTGGTTTCACACGTGATCCGCCACCGAAAACACAATCTCAGGAGCTGATAGACTCCACGCTGACCACTTTGGCATCCGGCTGGAATTTGTTCTCCACAAATGCGTCCAAATTGGCAAACACTGCTAAGGAAAAAGCCGTAACCACAGTGAATTTGGCTTCGACCAAGGTTCGTTAAACAAGTAACAGCTGTTCTTTGTTTGGTTGCTTTTTATTTATTTATTTGTTTAATTTTGTATGAGTTTTTGGTTTTGTTTTATTTTTCGCTGTAGATTAAAGAAGGCACTCTGCTTGAATCGGTTCAGAGTGGGGTTACAGATGTGGCCTACAAGGTCGGTAGACACCAGACAAGGCTGTGCCTTGCTTTAATTACACTTGTATAAATATCTATATACTGACAACTTGATTCTTATTATAACCCTAAAGGTTACTGACATAAGCAAACGTGGCTGGAACAACTTGGCGGGCGGCAACAGCTCAGCGTCTCAGGGCGGCTACAACGATCCCAGTCTGGACGACAATGGCTATCAGCGTTCCAATTCGGTGGGCGGCAACTTGGCCGGCGGCCTAGGACAGCAGAGTGGTGTTGGCGATAGCGACTGGGGTGGTTGGCAGGAGAATGCCAATAATAAAACGCATCTAACTAGCTCCAGCTCATATCAGAATCAACTTAGCAGCAATGCCGGCGGCACAGCCACTGGCGGCCTCACCCAAGACGATGATTGGGCTGGTTTCAATTCCACAAATTATCAAAATTCCGAGACTTCGTATCAAAATACACCGTCTGGCGGTCAGCCCGTTCGCCGAAATATGAAACTACAGGAGACTTCGCAGAAATTGAGCGAAGGCTTCGATAATCTGGATGTGAAGAATGTGAAAGCCAAGACAGCTGCTTCGTCGACTGGTAAAGCGAGCGCCGAGGATGATGCATGGAATTTGTTAATGAATTAGCAAATAGAAGTAAACCATTATTGAAGTGTATTGTCAGATAACTTGATTTGTTTTGTATTATTTTTTATTGTTGTCATCTTTTTGTTAAAGAAACTTTAGCTTATTCGTGGGGCGCATTTAATGTAAATTTACGAATATTATGTTCCAACCTATTTTTACCGATTTCCAACGAAGAGCAGTTATAATTTCCATTATTTTTACAGGTTAGACCAATTTTGAATAGAAATAATACAAAGCGAATTAATATGCAAAAATATATATATGTGAATTCAAATCTAACATTTCTTTTTATTGATATTAAAATGGGGGAATTTGAATTAGAATTGAAATTACAAATGGCGATACCGATATAGTTCGTATGTTGGAAACTAGATATCATTATACACATATCGATATATCGATACAATACACGAAACTTTCTGTAATGATTTCTCTTTTCTTTCATTCTTTTTCGTTTGAACAAACTGTGTGGACGCGTTTTTATCGTTTTATCGTGTGTCACGACATACGAGTTGGCAGTGCGCGCAGTTTATTCGGTTAATTAGGAGCCAAAGTGAATTCAATCATTAAATTTTACAGTTTTTCATAAATATACATTAATTTTATAAAATTAACAACTTAGGTAAAAAGTCGCCAACGGCTGCAGCCCCGCAAGAAAGTCGCGAGTTTTTATTAGCATTTCAGCGTGCTTGCTTGTGCGTGTGTGTATGTGTGAGTGTGAGTGTGTGACTAAGTGTGTGTGTATAGAAACGCGTACGCAGAAATTTAATTTTGCCAATTTGGCAAATAGAAGAAAAAAACTTAGCATGAAATTTGAGACTCGTGCTATACAACAAAGAACTGAAGGCCAATCTGTTTAAATGAGTGTAGTTGTAGTTGTATCACCAGCAGCAGCAGAGTAGCTTACACACACACACATAGAAAGAAAGTTCCAGCATCGTACCTCCACCCACCCGCTCTGTTGGTTTTGGGTTGGGAGTTTTCAATTTTCAAGGCTTCACCTACAGAACTTCCGATTTGGCCTTTTAACTGTGAAAGAAATAAAAATTCATAATATCAATGATTCACTAACAGTCGCGACTGCCCAGCTTTCAATCAGCAGCAGCAGCCGCCTCGATTCTGTTTAAATTTAGTGAAAGTGGGCTCATCCACGAATGACTTCATTTTCATGGCACCGATTTGGGTGCGAGGCTCGCAGCTGATTCGCTGCTCGGGGGGAAATAAACACATTTGTAATAGATTTTATGCTTGACTGGGATTCATTCTTCTTTTTATTTTGTTTACTTTAGAATAAACGTTCAAGCGCACATATATACACATGTACTTTTATATATATTTTGTTTAATCTATATTATGTGAATAAGCAAAAAATTTCAATTTCTTTATTTATAGACATTATAGAAAGTGCGACGCCACGCCCCGCTACACAACGGCCCATCAGTTTTCAGTTCAGTTGTGTTTTTATCTAGAAAACGTTACCGAGCCCAGAATCAAAATGTTTCAGCCATAGGAATAGACGCCCGTTCGAATATCTATATATATCTAAAGTGAAAGATTTGTCGGGCATTCCTAGGGACCTGACAAAAAAAGACAACCAAAACTAAAACAAAAGATAAGAAGTACTCTTACTGCATTTGAGGACAGCGTCTGCAAAAGCAAGTACAAATACTTGAACAAACGTTAAGACGAGTCTGGAGAATGGTTAAAAAGCAAGTCGGTTTAGAAAACAACGCGTCCTTAGTATTAAGTCAGCAGTCTGAGCAGCAGCCGGAGAAGAAGCACCAGCAGCAGCATCAACAGCAACATCAAGATCATCATCATCATCATCATCAAGCCGAGCAAACGCAACGCATTGATATCGATTTGACACCGGAGGAGCCAAAAAACGATTTCAACTTTGCTCGCCAGGCAACTGCCACCTATGCGCCAATAAACTCAGCGAACTGTCCAAACTATGAGAGTTTGCACAAGCTGCACCTGCAACATGCGCATCTTGTCCCAACGACGCCCTACAATCTCGACACTGTCCCACCACAGAGTACGGTGGCATTGGCCGTGTCGGGCGTGCCACTCTCCATCATGCCCAATGAGATACCCGCTGAGGACGAGGAGCGGCTTGAGCGGATCTTCAACCAACTGGATCGCGACGGCGATGGCAAAATCGACATACAAGACCTGTCGGCGGCACTGCACGAGTTTGGACTCTCCAGTGTCTACGCGGTGGTGAGTGAGAGATGATGGCGTAATTGGGTGGGTGGGTTTGCCATCATAACATATTCCTACTGCGAATTATCTATTGCAGCTGTTTAGCATCATCAAACACTCTTTTGCATTAATTATTCATTGAGAAATACTTTGTAAATATTTTGTAAATCTTCTGTTGTCTGCCAACAACATTCTGATCTTTGCACACCTCATAGTCCGTGTGTTTGTCTGAGTGTCGAGAGCGCCATATCTGATGTGCATAAACATGTAATGAAATTTTGCATAATTGGCCTCTGGGTGGCATATTTTTATGGCTTCAACCAGAAGAAATATGCATAACGTCTGAGCAGATCCGCGTATTGTTTGATTCTATTGATTTTGGCAAATGGGCTGCAGTTGTTTTTCATCTTTTTCGACAATTGTCGGAGGCCAAGGTTAAGCAGTGCAGATGCCAACTAACTGGGTCACGCGTGTATAATTTGGCAATTGTTTGCTTTGCTTTGAGTTATTTTTATGTTATTAATGGGCTGTATTGTTTGATTTTGTATAGAAATTCCTGCAACAATCGGACAAGGACCAAAGCGGGAATGTGGGTTTCGCTGAATTTCTTCATTATGTGCGAGAGCATGAGAAGAACTTATGTCTGCAGTTCTCGCACTTGGACAAAAATCGGGATGGTAACTTGGCTTGACAATCTATCTATATTATATATATGATATTCAATTTTGTTTCACAGGCAAAGTGGACTTGGAGGAGCTGATATCTGCGTTCAAAGACCTTGGCCTGGACATTGACGTTGACGAGGCTACAAAACTGCTTGGCAGGTTGGAACTCCCGTTCTTAAGTTATATTGATAAATATTCATGACGATTCTTCTCACAGAATGGACAAAGATGGTAGCCTAAATATAAGCTTTAACGAGTGGCGCGACTTTATGCTACTGGCGCCCTCGACGGACATTCATGATCTAATCAAATTTTGGCGGCACTCTACTGTAAGTGAAGCGGCTCGTTCGTCTCATTTAGTTTGTACTGTAGCTGCTAGTAATTGAATAGTGTAAGCATTTATCGCTTTATATGGATTTGGTTTGGCTATGGAAACGGAAAGCGGCGAAAAGGTATGCACAGGCAGCTGCCAGTGTTTATATTGTAAGCTGATCTAGTGCAAACTTGGCTCAATTTCCATTTACAGCCAATGCCAATTTGTACTTTGCTGTGCTCCGTTGTCTAGACACTTAGACACATTTATTTAGCTGTTTATCTTATCGTATTGCATTTGAAACTAATCGTTAAACCTTTTTACCCTCCTCGTTTCGTTAATATGCGTCTATACCAAAAAAAAAAACCTACCTATATACAAAACATATATGTGTACTATATTGCTTTAAAATGTAGTTCCTGCATACACATCACTCCTGACTAACTGAGGAAGACTTGAAGGTACATATCGTCAAAGTTATCTAATTACAATTAAACATAAAATTATTCCTAATAGTCGTACATAAATAAGTAGACGCTAAAGGGCACAAACATATCTCTTTCTCATATTCATACACTCACAAACATATCAGCATTTCCTCTTCCTTTCACCTCGAATGGCCCTCACTCGTTCGCTCATATCAGCAACTATTGACATTCAAAACTCAGTCATGGCAGTTCCCTGTTGACCCAATGAGCACTTGTATCTTTGGAGGTCAGAGCAACAAAGAGTAAAAAGCTCTGGTAAAAGCTCGGCCATTCTCTTTGACATTTACGCACGCTCTTTTTCTCTCTCACTCTTTTTCCAATTGGCTGACGTAAGAAGGGGGCACATTTCATCATTTAGTTAAAGCTTTTGACTAGCTTTTAATGATCGCGTCTGGACTCGCTGTCAAATGATCTTTTATCATGCGCTTATCAGTCAGTTTCACTCTTATATGATGAGCTGGCTGCTCTTGCGTTTGTTTATGAGTCGAGCGAGGGTAATCCATTTAAATGACTTTGCTTTCTGCGTAATCATTTTGTTTACATGTATTTTGTTGATTTTGCTTGCATTGGCAGTCGAGTATTTTATTTCTACTCTCTATAATATATAAATAATTGAAGTGGTTATGATTTTCCATTTAATAAGCTGCCTTCATTGAGCTAGTAAATTCTCCAGAATTTTTACATAAGTAATATTGGATGTTAAACTCCCCCAATACTGTGTTTATTTTCGTTTGACTGTCTGCTGCAGTTTATTGCCCGCTTTGTTTGACTCTTAAGGTCAACCAGTTTAAACAGGCCATTGTGGTATTCGTACCTGTCTGGCAACAGAGACTGCGCCATAGGAGGAGATAGATAGGAGCTGGATCGGCACAGTCCGGTTCTTGGTTGCTACGCAGCCGCCTTTTTTATTTAATGAACAGCAAGAATTGAGCTTATCTTGACATTTGTATTTAGCAAAATCTAAGGCGTACAGCCCGAATACCCTAGAAAGTTAATTAAAATAATTGCTGTGGAAACTCATATATACATACTTATAAAAAATTCCACAGCAATCGAAGAGTATTGAGCGTATTTCTGATAAGGGTATTTACTATGTCGTTTGGCTTTTGAGCAAAATATTTACGCTATAATTGTGTATGTATTATAAATAGTTCCGTTGTTGATTTAAGTCTGTGGCTTTAAAAGTCGTCGCGTGTCTGGCAATCGCAAAAAAAAAAAAATAAATAAATAAAATATTTTTAGGTCCATATGTTTTTCAAGGTGCTTAATCTGCTCTATGAGGTGTTCTCTATATTTAGAGCACAATATAGAGAATCTATTATTACAAAATTTATGAACTGTTGCAATTTATTAATTTCCACAGCAGTCAATTTCAATTGTTTGGTTTCTAAGCCATATCCCATAGATCTGTATTTGTTTCATCTAACAAGAGATAAACAATGCAATTGCTTACATTTCTACTATATAAATTAATTGAGAGCTATAGCAGATCAATTCAAAGTTGACTGTGCAAAGGCAGTCATAGAAAAAAAATTTTTTTAATTGAAAATTAATCGTAATCTTCGAAATTTTTCGTACAGTGTTTAGTTATTCCTGTATACAAAATTTGAGTTCTTTTGCAGTTCTTTGCGAAATCAACTCTAATAAATTTTTATTTTAATCTGTTTTTGACCCTCTATCTAAATTGTCATTATTTTTTTAAGTTTTAAATGTCTATATTTGAAATATATCTAATTCTATATAATGCTGTGGAACAAAAAATTTTAAAAGTAATTAAAGCAATCCTATTTTTTTGTAATCATCCTACAATCATAATACATGTCATTTGTATTTTATAGGACGAAAGGAAAACAGCCTCTATAGATCGAAATAGTTAAATATAGAATATATTTCTCTCCTTTTGTTTAACTACGCCATGGCGAAGCAACTATGTTTTAGAATTTGGTTTTAGTTGCAGCACTTTGCACCTGTTTATTAATTTTAGTGCAAACATTTTCCCCATTAGACCTCCCTAGCATCTGTGACGTAGTAATGTAATCTGTAAAGTTTCCATTGCAGTAGATAAATCGCAATCGCGCTGAAAACTAGCTGTAAACATTTTGGTCCGCTGATACGCAATAGTCCGGGTTGACAGAGAGTCATACACTCGTCATGTGGCTATCAGCAAACGCGTCTGCCATCAAATCTTTCGTGTGCGCCCTTGATTAAGTGTGAAATCGGCGGGAACTGGTTAAATATGCGAATAACGAGAAGAAACCAGTAAACAAATCAATAAGTCGGTGGAACAATATAGTTTAGTTCATTTAGCTCTCTTCCATTGTGTTTCTCTGTTTAGTTGGGTTTGTGGGTGACAAATTGACATTGGTTGTGCTGAAAGAGAGAGGAGAGGATGGGTGACAGACTGTGTTTGTGTGACTGACTGACGTTAAGTGGCTTTACCATTTGTGCTCAGCTTAACTGCAGCAGACTCTGAAGAGCGGGGAGAGAGAGAGCCACGCGCCACAGCTGTTCGATTAAAACGATACCGAGCACGAGCAGCGCGTCGCGACGACTTGCACTTTGTGCGACGCTGGCAGCGACGCCTTGTGCTGCGATCGGTGTTTAGCGCAAAAGCTCTCAGTCTTGTGGCAGCTGGCTCACGCGTAGGTTGTGCGCGCTTTGTTATTCCATTCGCTCTTCTCAGCGATTATTATATAACTCTACTGAAGCGGATTAACTGCTCTGCGTTCTTTCGTTGTAACGGCAAACGCGAATTTTAACCAAGCGTCGTGTTTTCTGTGTACGAATCAAGCAAAGTCGGAATTCCGTTATACTCAAACCAAATATTAATTAAATAAGAAATTTGTAACCGCTAACGCGAGTTACCAGTGAAAGTTTGCAGCTGTTTGAAACAGTCTGCAACAAATAGTGAAAGCCCGCTGTGCTGCACATTAACACACTCGCGAACCGCAATTATAAAACGGAAATCGGCCAACGGAAACGTTGTAACGAGATTTACACATAACTGTGACTTAATCCGCACACACACACCCGCTGTGGGTGTCATTGATGAGCAGAGTGTTACCATAATATCAAAGAAAACTTGGTCAAAATGTTTCGAAACAATACCTACCAATACAATTTGCCAGTCGATTACCACAACATACATCAGATGGCAGTCGCTGGTGACATGATGGAGGATTTCGTTGTCGTGTTCCGCGACATGATGGGACGGGTAGGTCGATATATGATACTTAGTATAGCAAATTAACTAATATAATTAGCAATAACTGATTAGAGTGAAATGTATATCCCCCGCGATACATGCATACATATATGTATATACATAATTTTTTATGGTTTTGCCATTTCTAGAATTTACTGCTGACTCATACGCGTCTAAAATTTTTGCGAATTATCTTATCAGTTCCAGTGAATTGTGTTCTCGAGCTACGCTTAATCTATTGCTTGTGATAATCTTTGTTCAGCATAAGAAAGTGCCAGCACATGCTGTACTTCGCCTTGCAGTCGCTCGCTCTTAGCTGAATGCTGCAATTGTCGGCTGCACTTGTCTTGTGGCATCTAAATTCAACTCTCGACAATCCGACGCGACTCGCTGTCCGTTACGAGGCAAGTTGAGCGCATGGCAACAGCGTGTCGAAAAACGAATCAAAAAATGCGACGTTGTTGAGCAAAGCGCTGATATGGAACCGGTTGACTCCCCATTACTTGCCTTACCCCCGCGACACCGTTGCCCATGACTTCGTCAGCGTCTGTGTCTTCGTCTTCGTCTTCGCCTTCGTGTGTCGATCGTAAAAACGTGTCTACGACATACTTTACCACAAATACAATCACAGTTTCTCTCTCACACTCGCATAGAAAGGGACGGGCAAACGCACTGCATGCTGATTTGTTTCGCTCGGCGCCTTGAGGGGTTTCGTTTCGCGGCGGCAGCGGCTGTTGCCAAGCGCTCCGCGACGTCATTATGATTTGCTCTTGGCCAACTTTAGCCAGTTATGATGTTCACTGAGTCACGGCTGTCTGGAGCACGTGTGGGTGTGTTTATTAGACGCCGTGACGTCAAATATTTGTAAACTTGTTGATCTCTTATTGCGTGGCAGGCACTCCGTCTGACGCTTGCTGTTTGCGTCATTGGTCAGGCTGATTGTATTACCCATGCATTGCATTCCAGCTAAAAGCACCCTCGTGAGTCAACTACCTTATTTTAGCTTATCCGGTTTCCAGCTGCACCTTCATGATCTCCACTTCGTTGTCGAAGCTGCCTCTCCAAGGCACTCGCATTGTGTTTGGTCTAGTTTGCCTTCATGCCCTGAATTTGTTAGTGGGCCTTCGTTTGGGGTTTCTCTCTGCTATTTAATTGCTGCCCCATTGTTGTATTGAGTTGTGTAAACGGGTAAAGCCCGCAGGGCCATCAAGTTTTTTGAATAAACCAACATTGATTACTTCTTCTATTCACTGCTCATTTATACCTACATATTCACTTCATTCAGACATTCCACAATGGCTAGCGATAAGAATGTTAGCAATGGTATAAATAGACTTAATTTATAGAAAGCTTTTCACTGTCATGTGGCTCATTTATTAATTTATTTGCTTCCGTTCCAAAGTTGAATTCAAAATAATAAAAAATAAAATAAATGAATGCGTAAATTGACAATTTTCTAAAAGGAAAATTCGCGAAAATTCGATGCTATTTATACATTCCTCACATGATCTCTTGACGAAGTAGATCAAGGAACATATTCACAAAATTAAAATCAAATTGAATATGAATGCAAATAAATAAATTCAAGCATTCGCATTGTTCCGCCAATTTACAAAAGCAAAGCACAAAATTTTTTGAAAATATTCCAACTGGGGTGAAAAGATGCTAAACATGACAAATGGAATTTTGTTTTTAGTATTTTGTACATCCTCCTTTGAGTGTCATTCATTCGCACATACCTAATAAGTGAATGTACATGCAAAACGAACATTAATTCATATACTTTACTACTGTACAGACATTTAGTTTGTTATATACAGACATACTCATATATATTTTAAGTATAGCAGACTGTTAGCTTTTTTGGCCAATTTGACCTTCTGTGATGTTTGCACTCGCGGATAGATCGCATTCAGAATGTGTCATTGAAGTCATTTTGTTTGTCACTTGAGCTGAGAGGCAAATGAACTTTGAAAACAAAACGATTTCAATTGTTTTATCCTTGAACTGCGGTTATCTGCTCATGTTTAATGGATAATTGTATTACAGCTGTAGACAAAGCTGAAATATTCCTTTGACTTTCGTTGGGAATATTTGGTTTCCAAAAAATCTTTTGTTGATGAAAAAGCTTTTGAAAATCACAAGACTTGGCAACTAATTATCACCTTCAGACGATTTTGCTGACATTTCGTTCAACTTTGATGGCTTATCAGGCACTTGTTATCAACGCCAAGCAGCAAAAATGAAAGCAATGAAGCCTAAGCGAATATTGAGCGTAAAATAATCCGAAATTGAATTACCCGACATGCGCCGAACACATTATATTAGCTAATTACGTAACGCAGTCGTAAGCGAGTAGGGGGCACGTCTCACAGGCAAACTAGCACAGAAGCTAGACAACAGAAATCTCGCAAATTGGTATTACATATTATTGCACAGACACATTTATATTTATGTATATATGTATATATACATATGCCCCACACACAAAAACATATATAGATAATAGAATTATATACTCTCTCACACACAATATATGCACAGTTGGCAAAATAAAACGCATGGGGGCTAGTGGGCAACGGGAATCGAGGATTTGCTGGCACGAGTGTTTGCTGTCGCTGCTCTTTGCAAAATTTTCTTAATTTAGAACTAGTTGCGTGTTCGTATTGAAATGGTCTTCCGCATTGCGTTTTAATTTGTTATTTGGCTTTGGCTTTTGTTTTGTTTTGCTGTTGCGTAGAGGGCGAACGGAGGAGGACACAAGAGTAACAGCTTGTTTGGACCATCTTGTGGCAGCAAGATGTCTTACGTTGCCTAGTTGTTGCCGTTGCTTTGGAATAATTGCAAAACATGAACCAAAACTAATGGAATACTTACAGGCGGGCGTGCAAGGATGGCTGATGTCGGTGATGTTGCTATTGGGCAAATATGTAAAGCTCCCGGATACGGAATTGGTCTGAATTGAATCTTAGTTTGTTTATTTTGTATGCCCGTAGCTCGATTCAAATTCAGTATCTTCTTCATAATCCATGTCCCTTTCTAAATAGTTATTAAAGCTTAGACTAAGCATTATGCCAGAGTTCGTCTCATTAATCGATTACAACTTTGATCTGTTACAGTACCTCGACATTGGCGAGGATATGAACGTACCTGATGACTTTACGCAAAAGGAAATGCAAACTGGTCTCTGGTGGCGACACCTCGTTGCCGGTGGCTTCGCTGGCGCAGTGTCACGCACATGCACAGCTCCGCTGGATAGAGTCAAAGTGTTTCTGCAGGTAACATGCGCAGTGAAAATACGATAAGAGTCGGTTAATACTGATCAAGTCCTCTTCCATCTGCTTGCAGGTGCAATCATGTAAAATTGGAATCTCAGATGGTATGAAAATGTTGCTTAAAGAAGGTGGCGTGAGCAGTATGTGGCGAGGCAATGGCATAAACGTTCTCAAAATTGCACCAGAAACAGCGCTTAAATTCGCTGCCTACGAGCAGATGAAGCGACTAATACGAGGCAATGACTCGACACGGCAAATGACCATTGTTGAACGCTTTTATGCAGGTGCAGCAGCTGGAGGTATCTCACAGACCATTATATATCCAATGGAAGTATTAAAGACACGTCTAGCGCTACGCACGACTGGTCAATACGCGGGCATAGCCGATGCGGCGACTAAGATCTACAAGACAGAGGGCGGCCGCAGCTTCTACCGTGGATATGTACCCAATATTCTTGGCATCCTACCTTATGCAGGCATTGATTTGGCCGTCTATGAAACGCTCAAGCGGCGCTACATAGCGAGCCACGATAACAACGAGCAGCCAAGTTTCCTGGTGCTGTTAGCATGTGGCAGTACATCGAGCGCGCTTGGACAACTGTGCTCCTACCCACTGGCTTTGGTACGAACGCGGCTACAGGCACAAGGTTTGTTTTCAATTGCTCCTATTTCATTTGTGATTCTAATTGAAATGTTTTTCACTTATTTAGCCGCCCTAACGGTAGCCAGCCAGATACGCAAAACACAAATTCCATTGAAAAGCTGCGATGCGGGGAGCAACGAAGAGACAATGACCGGACTGTTCCGCAAGATTGTGCGGCAAGAGGGGATTGCGGGACTGTATCGTGGCATCACGCCAAATTTCTTGAAGGTGCTGCCCGCCGTTTCCATTAGTTATGTTGTCTATGAATATACAAGTCGAGCACTGGGCATCAAGATGTCGTGATTTGTTTACCCCCTCACACTCTCTTTCGTCTGCGTGGCCGTCTGCAGTGCGGATGCCGTTAATATGTGCGAAGTGCGAGTGCAAATGCGTGTGCAGTTGACTCTAGTGCTGTGCTCTACTTTGTATAGTAGTGGTAGGTGAGAAGATACGCTCTCTGCTGCAATGCCAGACTTCTCTATAAGTTAAATGATTAGATGCTTTCATTAAGTGTAGAAAAAGCCTCTTCCATGCTCTTGGTATATATTTCTGATAATTTATAGTTAAATTAGTTTTGATTACTTTCTAAAAATACAAAATAAGTGATACTATGGCTAATTTATTTATAAATATGGAAGATGTGAACATTAAGACCGTGGAACAGGGCACGAAACCAATCACCCAGAAGTTTCTTAATTTATCAACAGTAGGCTCATGCCGTTGTAACTTTAAGTGCTAATTTATTTAAAAATGAAAATGAAAACAGGTAGATGACGCCAGAGAGCAGTTTCGGATAAGTCATGCGGTTGCAATGCTTTATCTATAATACCAAAACGAAAAAAAAAAAAAAAAAAAAAATGAAGCAAATCGAGCAAGTGCAGTTGCGAGAGATGGCGACGAAGCAAACCGAATCGCAACAAAAGGTTTATGTAAGCATTTCATCTCCGTTAACTGTATAATCTGTACCGTGTCTAGACAACTATTATAGGCTACAAGGTTTTTACCGAGTCCAAGTGCTTAAACTGGGGCAGGCGTAACAAATAAATGCAAAACTACAAAAGTAAAAAAAAAAAAAAAATTAAACAAAAACACATCCAAAATGTGTGGAGAATCAAACGAATGAATACTTAGGAGCGTTTTAAGCTTGTACACAAAAGACATTTGTTTAGCATAAAATTACAGAAATAACGATTAATACTTAACGTTTGAAATGTGATGATAATAGTTTATAATATACATGCATATATATACCTACACATACATACATATAATGCAAGGACCGACCTATGCGCTCCTAAAAAAATAGTCGCAGTTTTTGTTCGACGGCGAGGCTGAAATTTTGTAGCATTTTATTTGTTAAGTTTAGTGACATTTTTCTTAGATTGTATTTGTGAGAGATGCGAGCGAAGCCAACGAGATTAATTGTGACTAAAATTAACAAACAAAATCATATTTATTTTAAAAACATATATCAATGATATATATGTATCACAAAGAGCGGAAAATAGTTTATCCTTGAAAAAATGTAAAAAAGCAAACCCACAATAAGTTAAAATATTTCTAAAATTTATTTTTTTGTACCTTATTTTTAATTAGTCAATTGAATTTTTTATGTACATTTTTAGTGAAAATAGTACTTCATATTGTGAATTCTCTTTATTAATTACTTACGCATTTTTGTAAACTGTATACTGGACATCATATTCAGGAAACAAAAAGAACACCCAACCATTTCACCTATTTAATTAACACTCACCCCTTGAAATCACAGACAAGTTCATATGCATTATTTAAAACAAACAAATAAATACAAACTTTAAACTACAAATATCCTTATTGTTTATCGTTCAATTTGCATATTGGCTTAATATGGAAAATACATAGTTCTAGTCATGGAATGAAAAATTCCACGCAAAGTATAAGTTATCTTAAAACAAACAGTATATATTAATCCGAGTTATGCTCAATAGGAATTTTTATTTTATTTTATTAGATAGCAAATATATATTAGACATGATTCCAAAATAATTATTCTTAAAAATATGAAGTCTCTTTCCAAATATATAGTTGCAGATTATACGAATAGAAACATGAATCTATGTATGTTTAATATTTATCTAGCATATATATATATATGGATATAACAGTCTATGAATATAATTGATATTGATATTCCACTATATTACTGAATTGAATTCAACATTAACTATTTAATATACGAATATAATGGCATATATGGTACATGCGTACATATATATTTATATATATACATATATATATTGTATATTGTTATATTTTTGTACGTTTAGCTAATTTTTAAAAACATTATTTAATGTGATTTGTATGCCCTACTCAAGTTACAAATAAAACGACATATAATAAATGCAAAGCATATTCGTATATACGTATTCATTTCTGGCATACGTACGGACTACGTGGCGTATGCGCAACCTTTTCAGCACTCTGGCGATCTCTAGCGGCGAACTGGCGCAACTGTGGGACAGAAGACCGTATTCGAGCAAAACACGAATGAACTACAACCAGTTCGAATACGAATCCTAAACAATTATTTTTAACGCGGCGAACCAAAAGTTCGGTGCTATTTTTGGAGGGCATCCGCCCGCCAGCTGTTTCCAATACTCAGCAGCAGCGGAAAAGCGAGACGTCTCTGAAAATCTTGTAGCTGCCATTGCAACGTGAAGTCATATTGCATTTTTATATAATTCGAGTGTGAGAAAGTTGTCAAAGGAACATGGATTACGATCCGGACTATCAGAAGATCTGCTCGACACGGACCGTGCAGTCCGATAAGAAGGGCTTCTTCAACGAATTCTATCTGAATGTGAAAGATGCATGTGGCGACAAGTGGCTGCAAAACTATTTCGGGAAGCTCAAATCGAATGCGGCACGCATTTTGTCTATATTCAGTGATCGAGAGATCTGTGATCCAGTGCTGGGCGTCTTGGAGCATGTGCAGCCAGTTTTCAAGCAGAAAGACGTTCTCCTCTCCTCTCAGCGCCGCGCACAGGCAGATAAGTTTTATTTGATGAGCAGTAATGCGGAGGTTGAGGCGGATCGCAAGGAGCTGCTCCAGCAGGCGCTGATGCATGCCAATCTGGCTGTAATGCGAGCACCTGCTCCTAATTTGGACACGAGCGTTGATCATGGCCTGACTCTGGCCATGGCCTACCTAACGCGTGCGAACATTCTAATCAGCCAGGGCGAGGGCGAGGCTGCTCTGAGTGATCTCAAGCTGGCCGCCAATTTCGGAGTAGAGTCCAAGCAGAACGTGGACTACTACTGCAAAATGGCGAAGGCTTATGCAGGCAAGTATTTCGAAATCTCTGAACTGGGTTTGGTATCAACAAATTAATTCTGTAGCTATGGCTGAGGGCGCACGCGCTGAAATCTCTTTGAAGATCGCAGAGAAGCTGGCAGGAGCTAATACTGGCATTATAACTATAACTCGAAAGGAGATTGCACTGATCAAGCCAGCCAAGCGGGAACGGCTAACGGAGGTGGTTCCTGCATTGACGCATGGCGAGAATCCGGAGCTCAGCGGTGCAGCCAAAGTGGTTAAGCTGGTGGAGACAAAGGACAAAGGCCGGTTTGTAGTGGCCGATCAGGGCTTGAAGACTGGAGACGTGGTGCTCGCTGAGGATCCTGTGGCTGCGTGTCTCCTGCCCAACTTCTTCGGCACCAATTGTCATCATTGCTTCAAGCGGTGAGTAAAATCTGAGCTGACAATATATTTGATTTGATCAAACGTAATCAAATCTTTAGACTGCATACGCCTGTGCCCTGTTTGCACTGCTCGGGCATAGCCTTCTGCAGCGCTCAATGCATGGGCGAGGCCTGCGAGACTTATCATCGCTTCGAGTGCCAATTTATGGACTTGTTCATTGGCTCCGGAATGTCCATACTCTGCTTTATAGCATTGAGAATTTTTACACAAGCCCCGAGCTTGGATGATGGCCTGGCAACGGCAAATCTATTATTTGAGCACCTGTGCTCCCATCAGGACGTCCGTGAAGCGGATGACCACCTACAGCGTTCACTCATGGCAGGATTTCTAATGCGAGTTTTGCAAAAGGCTCAGTACTTTGGGCGGCGCAAGACCGAAGGCGTTAATCCCACTGCTGTGGAGCTGCAGGTGGCCACCGCTATGTTGGGATTGCTGCAGCTCCTGCAGTATAATGCCCACGAGATCTATCATACCATGGTGACCGATGAGCACTGTTTCGAGGGCTGCAAGGTCGTCTATGTAGGTGCGGGATTATATGGCACTGGCTCCTACTTCAACCACGAATGCTGGCCCAGCGTTGCGGGCTATTTCGTGGGCAAAAAATTGGTCATGTCCGCCACCAAGCCACATCGGCCTAACGAAATAGTTGCCGTAAATTATGGACCCATATTCACCAAGATGAATTTGAAAGAGCGCCAGAGATCGTTGCGTGGACGATACGCATTTAATTGCAATTGTATGACCTGTCAGGAAAATTGGCCTCTGCTGCAGAAGATCGATAAACAAGTCAGATTTTGGTATGCTAAATCTATATACATACATTATATAAGTATTTATAAGTCTTATATTTTTTACAGGTGCACATCGGCAAATTGCGTGAACTTGCTGAAGTTTCCCAAGGATCTGGCTAAGGACGTTCGCTGTCCTCGCTGCCGAAAAAATGTTTCGCTGAAGGAAAGCGTCGCCAAGCTTATAAAAATAGAGGAACTTTACCGGGAGGCAGCCGAAGCCATGCAGGCTCAGAAGACTAATGAAGCAATAGAGCTATTCAAAGAGGGCATTGATGCATTCTTTCAAATAGCGGCACTTCCACACAAGGACACTTTGATTGCACAGCAGGCTCTGCTGAAGTGCAATGCCAACACGGGTACAACGTTCAGAAAGTAATACGTTAAAATTATAATTTTTCTATTTATGTGTTGCAAATCTGCCCTAAATGGCAATAAGTAAGTTTTATATGAAAGATTATAGATAAATTTATTATTTTCACAAGTTTGTATACATTTTCTTACTGTAAATCGCTTCTTTTTTTTACAGGAATAACGGATGCATTTAAATTTAGTACAAAAGTAACAGCAAGTGTTGGAAAACTACCTTAAACATGTCGTTCATTGATAGTTGAAGTATCGCACGAATTTCGTGTATCGATAAATAAATTTCTGCAGTACTATTATCGCTCATCTCTATTGATGCGTATTGCAGCCAGCTGATTTAGCATTCGCATGCGGCTTTTGATTTTTTGTTTGAAACAACAAATGCAAAATGTTTAAGAAACTTAAACCTGGAGAGAGCGAAGATGATGTCCTTCGTATGGCAGCAGAATTCAATGCTGAGCGTAAGAAAAATCCAAATTTTCAACCAGCTGCAACTGTTGTACGTGTGGAAAAACGTGAGTCTGTCGATGCTATGTCCAAAATATAAACATAACGTAAAATTAATATTTGTAAAGCTGTCGGGAAATCATTGTTTGCTCAAAAACGAGAACTAGCTAAGCTTAACAGCCAAGGAAGTGCCATAAATTCTGCAGAAATTACGCCGAAGACTACTCATATTGCTGAAGATGCAAAAAATAAACAAATTCTTCTCGACGAAATCCACGAAAATATGTTGGGAGATGTTCGTGGGACAAAGGTAGACTTTGGGTTGATAAATAATGTTGTGGGTGAAATTGTAGAAAGACGAGAAGGAGCGCCGCGGCAAGTCGTAAGAGAACATCGGCTAAATCAGGTATGTATTAAGATAAACATGTCTCCCGCCTAACTTTAATCATTTGTCTCCTTTAAAGCAAAACAACAACAAGTCGAAGAGTATTTTTGCACAAAAATTCAATAAAAATGAAAAGTTAAACGCCAATAGCAGTCATTCAGACCCACAACATAATGAAGTACAGATGGAAACTAGTTCTATAATCCAAGATACCGAACTGTCAAAGGAAATTCATGAAGAAAATCAGAATATACTGTCTCAAATGCGCGAAGAGGAAATCCTGGCGGAGCGACAAAAGTTGCTGAGCTCTTTGGGTAAGAAAGAGCACAATGTTATATGCTTCTATGGATTAAATTTGATTCTACATCATCAGATCCCGCTTTAATTGAACTGCTGAAGAAAAAGCGTGCTATCCAAGCGGCTAATGCAAAAAAGGCAAAGCCACTACCTAACAATCATCACGATTCCCCAGTAATCGCTGCCTTAAGCGATTCGAATCCAGCCCACGAATTACTGCAGCAAAGTGATGAAGGCAATTGGTTGAATTTCAATCTAGTTGAGGAACACAAACTGGCCTGGATGCGTGATATTCCCGCGAGAATAGCACAGCTTAAGCCTGGTCAACAATTCAATGCACGCTTCGATTGGAAGGGCGTTCTGTTGCCCCATTCACTTGATGAATTGCCACAGAATACTGATGATCGGGATTTGTATTTGCATGGTGAGGAGCCTGAGCGACCAGGCTATACGTTGCAGGAACTCTTTCGTCTGGCACGGTACGCTTGCCTTGTCTATAAAATGTATAGCCATTATAATGAAATTATTCTGTTTCAGCTCGACAGTGTTGCAGCAACGCATTTCGGCTTTTGGCGCGATTGCTGGTATATTCAGCATTTACAATCAGGGCTTCTACGATCAGGTGCTGACATTGCCCATTTCCAAAATATTCTTTCTGCTGCGCTTTGGCCTAGATGACAATACGCCAGCACAATTGGAAGTGGTCAGTAGGGCCTTGGCTCGGCTGTGCTACAATGAAACGGATGAAGTTTTGCTCGATCATATCTATGAGAACGCTTATTGCCATTGGCAGCCAACGC